CAGCTGTTGATGTATTTTTCCTTCCTAATGCTTGAATATATTTAGTATAATGGCACAAGCAAGGGTGTCGAATCCACAGGGACTAATTGGACCTATGTAATTACTTGTTTTGTAAGAACTCTATGAAATGAATCAAACTAGTCTAAATAGGCAGATTTGGAAATGAATCAAACTAGTCTAAATAGGCAGATTTGGAAATGAATCAAACTAGTCTAAATAGGCAGATTTGTTGTTGTAACTTGAAAGTATAAGAAAATGAAGTAAACACAAATAAATGAATCAACAATTAATACAATGAGATAGTATCAATGGAAATGAAGCTAGGGATTCGGTTTCACCATTGCTCAACTAAGTCCATGTTTGTTAAGTTAGTTTGTACTCATTCATCTACCTATTTCTTGAGTTTGTTTCACTTGGACATGATCAACCATATGATGTGTGGATTTGATCAAATGTCTCTAATCATGAACCTAATTGTGATGTGCAACTTTGGTTCATAATCAAGAGTATGTAATGCACAAGAAACTTTCATAAAACTAAAGGGATTAACTCGGCAGGATGTGTGCTAAACATTCCCTTCATTCATTCACATATCTACCAAGATTATGCATGATGTGTGTTCTAATCTTGGCTACACAACTTTGTGATTAATTCAAATGATGATCAAACATTAAAATCAACACACTAAGTCACCATTAAATCAAAGAATGAAACAAGAAATAGATGGACAAACTGAGCATTCTAACTTAATTACATGGCAAACTTTGCAAGGTTACATCGAATCCCTAGAGGAAGATTAGTTACACTTCATGTTTACAAAGGTTTAACATAAAAATAAATAACATGAGTGAACATAAGATTAAGAAGGGGAAACCCTTGAAGCAAAACTGATGTTGAAGTCCTTGAAGAGTGCCTTGGTGTTGCTTCTCCAAATGTGGTGCGGATGAACTAGATTGGCTTGGTTGAATGGTTTCTGCCCTTGGGACAGAAATGGACAGAGAATGGAGTGAAATGGGAGAGGTTATGTGTGTGTAATGGACTGAATGAAGAAGAAAAATGCCGAACCCTTGTTGTGTGAAGTGAGCTTTGTTTTATAGAAGGGAATGTGGCTCCAATTCAGATTGGATCTCATGCACAAGTCAAATGGAATAGCATCAAATGAGCTGGAATTGATGGGTTTCTGAGGTAGTGGACGCATGGTATTAGGGAATATGCATGAATGTTGTTTGTTTACTTTAGCTACATGTGCACTTGCTGCAAAGCTGAAATGACACCCTGGAAAGGGTATCAAAATGCACGGCATAGACAAGGATGAGCTAGAATCACATGGAATGATGGGATGAATGGATTTCTGGAATGATAGATGCAAGGAATGGACATGATCTGCAGGTATGAGGATTATTTAATAAAGAAGCATGTGGATTTCTGCAAAGGTGAATTGAACCACCAGAAATTGTTTGTACAAATCTGGAAAGAAGAAAACACACGGCATGGGATGATGGAATGAGTGATTTTCTGGAATAATGGGTGAATAACAAAAGGGAAATGTGCAAGCATGTGGATTTCTGCAAAGATGAAACATGAGAAAGATAATGGAATGCACGGAATGGATGTAAGCATGCATGTGAATGCATGCTTTGGTGTTTAGAAATGCATAATCTGACTTGGAACCACATGGGATTTGCATGACATGATTGTGTTTGTTGGTGGAACTATGGTTGAATGAATTAAGTAATGGAGGTGCATGTTCTTGGTGCAAAAGGGAGCTGGAATGGCATGGGAAGCACGGCAAGGTTGCAAACATGCATGTGAATGCATGTTTGGGTGTTGGAATCACATAGCTGACTTCCATGTTTTTGCTTTGTTTAAAATCACCCAATATGGCCGAATTGCATCTCTTAGCACTTCACATCTTTTCTGGAATGTTTTTACTTCATTTGCCTTCCCATTGATCCAAGTTCACACTTGGCTGCACACTAACACCAAATAATGTAAAATGCAACTAGTTTAATCCAAAACAATCACAAAGACACCAAATAAGGAAGATATAAATGCATGCAAAATGTGACTTATCAGCAGCCTTGATGGTGGATGTCGATCTCGAGTCGGATTCCTGCGGGGTTGAGCTGGGATCACAATAGGTTCAGCTCCACTCTCTTGTATAGATGTTGTGTTATGGTCATGGGGAACTACTTATGCTTTTGAGGCTTCAGTGTCGTCTCCAATAAGCAGGTTGTCATTAAGGGTTGCATGAGAGTCCCGGTTGTGAGGTAGTGAATGGACACAGTCACTTGATTCGACTGGATTTGGCAATGGGAAGAGATCTAGGAAGTGCTCCCCCTGACGATTTTGATCTGATGATTTGTTGAAATATGGTTGGTTTTCATCAAACCGTACATCTCTTGAGACAAACATCTTCCTGGAGCACGGATTGTAGCATTTGTACCCTTTTTGGGTGGAGGAGTATCCTATGAAAACACACTTGACAGCTTTGGGATCAAGCTTGTCTCGGTGATGGGATTGAATATGAACATAACAGGTACATCCAAAGATTCTCAGATGGGAAAGATTAATTTTTTTGTTTTGCATAACCTCAGATGGTGATTTTGTATCCAGAACACGACTAGGCAGTCTGTTGATAAGGTAGGTGGCTGCAAGAACTCCTTGAGACCAAAACCTTTTAGGCACATTCATTTGCAACATTAGCGCCCTGGTGTTTTCAAGTAGGTCCCTATTTTTCCTTTCGGCAATTCCATTTTGCTGAGGAGTACCTACACAACTTGTTTGATGTATAATTCCATGGGTGCTCAAATAGTTAGTCATATTTTTGGATGTATATTCAGTGCCATTATCAGACCTTAGTATGTGGATTTGGGACGAAAAATTGTTCATGACAAGATTATGAAAGTCCTTGAACGCATCCATAACTTCACTTTTGAATTTTAGGAGGTACAACCAAGTGGCTCTTGAGAAATCATCAACAAAGATAACGTAGTACCTATAACCATCAAAAGACTCTAGAGGGGCAGGTCCCTAAACATCGGAGTGCACCATCTCAAAAAACTTGCTAGTCCTAGACATGGAAGAATTGAATGGGAGTCTATTAGATTTTGACAAATGACAAATTTCACATACAAGGGAGGATTTGCATAAACTAGGGAACAACGTAGACAACACAGATTCTGAGGGATGGGCTAGGCGTTGATGCCACAACCGATGTTCTAGGTTTGAGCTGACTTGGAACCCCTTTGGAACATTGAGGTCCTCTGAAAAATAGTACAGCCCATTTAGGTAGTGACCTTCACCAATCAGCTTCTTGGTGGCTAGATCCTGAAAAACAACATTGTGGGGGGAAAAAAATTGCACGACAGTTTAGAGAGTTTGTAATCCTTCCTACGGACAATAATTGAAAAGGAAAAGATGGAACATATAACGCTGTGGACTCAACAGTTTCTGAGATCAGTTTAACTTTTCCTCTACCTAGAACTGGCACACCTCTACCATTTGCTACAGAAACTAGTGATGGTTTAGTGTAGCTTTCAAAATCGTATAGCTTTGAATATTGATCTGTCATGTGATCTGTGGCACCTGAGTCTATAATCCAAAAATCATGAGAGTGACTAACATTTAGAGCAGTTGAAAGAGCACACATGATACCTGGAATGTCTCCTTGAGGTACATGACCAGATTCAGCTAAGAACCCTGCAAACTGTCCAAGAAGAGCAGTTTGACTTTCCCCAGTCGACGTTTCACCTGTGCTTCCTTTTCTGGTTTGAAGGTAGGTTGAGAACTCATTCAACAAGTCAGCCGGATTGGCTGTAAAGTTCATCGACCCACCGATGGATGTAGTAGCAGCAGCATGGTACTTGTTTGTATGTGGTCTAGCGTGTGAGCCCTTATGATCTCTTAAAGGCTTGTTCTCAAACCTTGGCTTCAACTCAGGGTGCAATATCCAGCATCGATCTATTAGATGTCCAACATTATTACAATGTAGACACTTCAGATCTGGCCTTTTTCCCTTGCATACTTTATCTCCAAATGACTTGTGATTTGTCACAAAAGCTCTAGCCTCAGACACACTAGGTTTTACGTCAACATTCATGACTTTTCTGCGTACTTCTTCTCGCTGGATAGTAGTGCAAACACTTGCAAATGATGGAAGTTCGGGATTCATTAGAATATGGCTTCTAAGATCTTCATATTCAGAACCCAAACTTACAAGCAAATGAAAGATTTTGTCTTCCTCGGACCTTTTTAACAGTACGACAGCATCGATAGTGTGTGGTCGATACATATCTAGTTCGTTCCACATGTTTTTCATGCAACCGAGATGATGAACAAAGGATTTATCACCTTGTTGAAGACTTGCGAGATTCCTCTTAAGCTGGAACACTCGAGCAGCATTGTTTTGATTTCCATACATGTCCTTGACTGCCTTCCAAAGAGCACTAGAGGATTCTGAAAAACTGAAAATTTCAGACAGCTTAGGATCCATGGAGTTGAGGAGCCACGACATGACCAGCTGGTCTTTGCACAGCCATGCTTCATACTCCGGCGATGCGACGTCAGGTGCTTCAATACTTCCATTGATGAATCCAAGTTTGGATCTTCCTCCAAGGGCAAGAGATATTGATCTGGACCATGGAAGATAGTTAAACTCATTTAACAACACAGAACACAAACGTTGGTTTGGGTTGACTTCAGCTTCTGGAAAACTAGGGCGAGGAGCTGTGAAGCTTTCAGCTTCTGAGCCAAAAAGATTATCTTTTGCCATTATCGAAACGAATGTGCAGAAGAAGAGAAGGGACAACAATGGAGTCAGGCCGGTTAAGGTTCCGGCTCTGATACCATGTGGAAAATATGGAAGAGAATGTTTTTTCTCATTATATTTCTCTACAAGATTACAAGGATATATATACATGAAACACTTAAGGGATACAAGTGTGTAGCTTGGACAAGGTAGGACGGCTAGGAGACAAGGTAGGACGGCTTGTTGTGTAGCTTGGACAAGCTAGGACGGCTTGGACAAGGTAGGAGACAAGGTAGGACGGCTTGTTCTTCCAATAGCGCTTTCTATACATGATTGGCTAAAACAATAATTGAAATTGTACAATATGAGTATTCCTTGCTGCTCTGCGAAAACGACTCTAGTCCTATTCTGGCTGGGACGACTGTGTAATTGTACGTATTCCCTATGTTGTCAGTGCTAAATTAATATTCAAAAAAAAAATAATGTCAAGGATTGAAAAACTACATAATTAAGCTACCTACATCTTCATGGGCACTGCCACGGACGCTCGACCGACATGAAAGAACATGGAAATGTAGGGACTTAACTCTTGTTGCGTTGCGTGTTGATTCAGTGACGTTGGAGCCAGTGCAGCGTGATCCAAACCAACTCTTACAATCTGACTGGCAATCCGTAGTTATGGAATGTCCTGATTGTTCCGTCACATCCAGCAGTTACAATGACAAGTCCCCATGGTTCCGATTCAGCGGTGCGATTGAGTGCTTTATTTTGCTGCTGCTGCTGACGATGATGAACTTGACGTTGCCGGTGATGTTGACCATTTTCATCTCGTATGACCGGTAAATCCCATAAAGGCAGATGAAGTTTCTCTTCGGGCCAAGTTGCAGAGCCGCCCCTGCACGGACCATTTAAGAAAAACCAATTTCCAAGAGAAAAACATTGCGAATCTCTGCTTCCCGGAGCAGCCTCCAGATGGCCTTGTGTTTCCAAGCTCCTTTGTTCTCTTCTCATGCCTGGCCAAGGTACCGCGACAGACACACCTTCGCATAAGAAATGCTCACAGGATTGAACAGATTTTGTTTGTTTGGATGATGATGAGACACAATGCTCGTCATAGTCCCACAAATAAACACGCGAGTCCTCTCCAACTGAAATTATATGTTTCCCGCTCGATGTAAAAGAAGCTGACGTCTGACTTCCCGACTTTGCAAGACCTGATACATTCAGAAAGATATAGTTATTCAATGAATGCTTTCATTAACCGCGAACAAACACTATGTACTAGTAAGATGCAAATTTGAGCATATGCTGCAAGAGAACGGGGTATCATATCATCTACCCAAATCAAGATATGGTAAGCATCCACACCTTTGTATTTCCTTATAAGTTCTACTCCGTCAAATATACGGACTTTCGAGTCTTCTGATGTTATCATAACTCTCTGCGACTTTTCCTGGCAAAACTGGGGAGAAAATAAATCCTAATGTTAATGATTGAATCAGAAACATAACATCTTATACAAGCGTGGCGGAAAAGAAAATTTTGAAAGAGCTTTGAGTGCAAAACCTTGATGCCAGTGATTTGGTTGCCGGAGGTTTTCTTCCTACCATGAATACGCATTCGCACAACCAGCTGAAGATAGTCCCCTGTCCAACCACAAAATCGGTTTAACAACTCCCCAGGTGAGGAAAATGCAAACACTTGAATATCAACACGAAGACAACATACGACTTTATGTACCTGATACTTCATAGAAGTGGCAAGTGCCTGTAACAGAACCAACCACGAAACCCTACTTGCGCAGCAGAAAACCATATGGTTAGCATCATAGAGGAGAGAACTCTCAAGTTTATAATTTTAGTAGCAGTGTAATAAAATCATGGCTAATCAGGTATTAAGAATCATACTTTTCCATCTGGTTGATAACATATAGCAGTTATAACATCTCGAACATCAGCCCAGTCAGCAACTCGGTTATCAGAGAGTCCCCAAACTCGAACTTTCCCATCTATCGATCCACTTATGAAATAATTGTCGTTGACAGGATTGAACTGAATGCACGTCACTGGTACCATTTAAACATTTGAACAATTACATTTCAGATTATCATATCGTATACAAATTTGAGGGAAAATAAAAACAGAATTAGGATATTTATTTTTATCCTTACCATAGTCATTGTGATCGAAAACATTTAGGCAGTGACCGGAACTAACATCCCACAGACGAACAGTTTTATCCATGGACGAAGAAAGAAGATACTGCAATGAGCATATATATAAATTTACATCAGTCACAAGCTACAAAGTTGTAAAGATGACTATATATCAGTCAACGAAATAGGAAACGTTACGATATACTCACATTTGAACTCGACCAAGCCAGGTCTAACACATCACTGGAATGGCCATGAAACTCTTGCAGCGGTGACTCCTGAATTCGAAAACCCTTTTCAGGAAAGATCACGTGATAACCGGACTTCATTTTCTTAAGTTTGCTATCAAAGTTCCCTTGAGGTGTTAAGTAGGTACAAGAAGCATCTGCTAATGTAACACGCCAGATGCACACAATCCCATCTTCACCGCCAGTTGCGACGTACTGGCCATTGGGACTAAACTTCATCACCCCAATGAACCCCTTGTGCGCAAGAATTTCTTGCCCACTGTATAGTGCAGTGAACTCCATACACTTCTTACCATTCTGCTTGACCTTCATCCTATTTTGTTTCGGTATTTCAGTATCTGGTTTCGATACCTTTGACACAACTTTACCTCCTCTTCTCTTCCTCTTGTTTATAAACTGTTTCCACCAAACTTTCGTCTTCTTTTCACCCTCCTGTGAATTCTGATATTCTTTTTCTGGAGCCTCAGCTTCTCTCCGAGCAGAACCCGTAGCAGAAGGTGAAGCAATATGAACAGCATCGTGAGTCCAGGCCAAATTTGAGCTACCGTGTATGTTACTATCCAATGTATTGTACATAAAGTTTGCTTGATGACGACTAGAAGGCGAAATGCAAGAGCTTGGGGAAGCTCCACTGCATTCCGAAACTCTTTCCAATCCCGTATCCACAGAAGCAAACTTTGTAGAATCAAACTCAACTAAATCCATTTTTCGCAGAAAACTCTCCCGTCTCTCCTTAACACTTGGTGGCTCATACATCCAAATTTTGTACTCCTCACTTGCTACGAGTGATCGTGCAGGTGACAAGTCCTCCGAGTCGAAGAACACATCATTTTCTTCGTCATAAGATTGATCAGAGCTCAGCATGTCTGTCACTTGAGGCCCTCCAGACCTCCTTCACTCCAAGTTGCAGGCAACCTTCTTTAGTAAATAATAATACGCAGCAAAGTCCCCAATTCACGGACCGAGTTTTTCTCGTTAACTATGCAGACAGGATGAAGCATCCACATTCCAAAGCAAAGCAATTCAACTGAATAATATTAAACACACAAGCATGGATAAGTACGAGGAACCGAACTTACCGACTCCAAAATAGCAAACAAAATATCAACACTAAATTTAAATTAATTAATTTGGCTAATTCTTTATAGTTACTGTTATAATAATATTAGTGGACTTGAATACACCCAAAACTAAATTAATAAAATAAAATAGAAAGACGGAAATAACCAAAAGCCCTGAACTGACAGAGTTAGAATACCAAACAACATATGATAACTATTTCATTCTCAGTTCGTAATTTTCGTCGTTTGGCAATGAAAGCAAAATTTTTAACTAAAAGCCAATATTGAAAACTCGTGAATTTTTCCTTTTTAGTTTAGAAAAAAACACAGCTGATTTTTACACACTATGTTTAGCTTCTTACATGCCCTTTTAATTTTCAGTGTTAATCAAACAAAATTATTGACCAAGACTTAACGAGAAAAAAAAAAAAAAACTGATTTGGTATTGTTGTGCTTTGAAAAAATTGGTTTAATCAAACAAAACACAGTGGCTGGTTTGGTATTGCTGTGCTTTGACAAAAACTGTTTATGTTGTACTGTAAGAATAAGCTCATTTTTGTTGTTTCACCCAAAACTGTGAAAATAAGTTTTTAAGTTTTTACCAAACCATTTTTTAAGCTCAGTTTTTTTCTATACCCACTTTTTATAAAAGCATATCAGTACCAAACTAATACTAAAAAACTATAAAATGTATGCGATTATCATTTTTTTGTCAAAAAAACAAAAAAGCAAAAACTGAATGCTAAAAACGACGTACTAAAATTACTAATAGTTTATTGAGATACAGAATGACGGTCAGAACTTAAAAAAAGGCGTAACAATAGTATTAGTATAGTATAATAATTACTATAGTATTACCTCCTCCAGGTCCAGTGGTGTGTTTGAATGCAATGCAAGCAAAGCAAGATGAATTGAGATATTGTTGAATATGGCCGACCCTCCTGTAATTGTGGAGTCGCTGCTGCAAACATTTCAACAACTCAGCTAACACTGCTTTATTTGTATTCAACCCAATACTCTGAACTCAGACACTCAAACTGCAAATAGAAAATGTCGGAGGAAGGAAAGGAAACAGCTGCAAATTCTCACTCCCTTAGTTACCAGATGTTTGAATTTTGAGGCCTCCAGATCCCAACTCTTTTAAAACTCGCAACCAAGCTCTCCCAATATTTTTTTTCTCTTGTTTGCGCTTTTGTGGGCTGCAGCCACTCTACTGCTCCTTTCTATTACTTTTACCAGTGGTTGTGCTGCTGCTCTCTCCTTTTTCTTTCTGCTTTTTTTACACCCAGCAATTTCTGCAATTAATTGCAGAATTTTTTGGTTTAAAATTCAGAAACCCCAGAAATCAATTTAAAAAATTTAACTGTAAATTTTCACATTTATATAGATAGAGACGCCACATAAAAACCCAATTAAGTAATATAAATTAAATTAAAAACCCAATTAAGCACGATGAATTAAATTCAAAATCCAAGCTTTTGATCTTTTGAGTACTCATTCTTATGGTCCTAATAGCGTAGTATTTGTGTTTATTTGTTTAAGTTCCAAAGGGTGTCAAACGTACACTCGTTTGTTTTCATAAATGTCGAAAACAGTCCAAATACACTTCATAAAGAAAAATTGTGTACTTTTGACATGCAATAAGCTATTGATCTTTTGAGTACTCATTCTTATAGTCCTAGTAACGTATTATATGTATTTATTTTTTTAAATTTCAAAAAACGTCAAACGCATGCTCGTTTATTTCCATGAATACCTAAAATAATACAAATACATTTTAAATAAAAAAAACTTTGTACTTTTAGTCATAGAATAAAGAACAAAGAGTTTAATTTGAGTATGAAATAAAGAGAAACAACAAACCAAAATGTGTCAGCGTAGAGTATATACTCTTTAATACCAATGATCCTATAAGAAAAAAGGAAAACTAATTAAAAGAATTTGAAAATTTTGAATTTTAACGATAAAGATAAAATTGTTGTAGGCCTATTTGATTGAACGATCTAGAGTTTAGAGAGAGAGGGGAGCTGGCCACAATAAGAGAGAAGAGAGATTGATTTAATTGTGAGGTGTGTTTGATTTACCCCATTGTGCCTTTATTTATAGTAGTAGGATAGGTAAAAACCTTGCCCTTTAAGATTACAACATTTAATAGGTAATCTAGTCCTAATAGGAATATAAGATACTTTCCCATATCTCCTAGGATTTACACAATCACATTCTTATTCTGAATATGATTGCAACACTCCCCCTTGAATGTGTAAATACTCAACAAACCATCGCATCAAATCTTCAGCAGATAAGGTAGAATAGTTGATAAAGTCATCAGCACAACGGGTGATCGCGAGTCTCAAGTTTAAGTGAAGTATGCATTTGTACTAAAACTCACAAAACTTCGCTATAGTAAAACCCAAGGCATGGGGAAAACCCATAGACTAAGGAGAAAAGTGAGAAGTATGCATAATGTCTTTAAGCAAACGTCAAATTGGACGAAGGTAGAGAACTCAACGGAGTATGATCATACCAGGATGGGTGCCTCATTAAAACCTCGTTAGGTAGCAAAAACCCAGTGGGAAAGTTACTCCTAATCGTAGGAAAAAAAGTACATTAAGATCATGTGAGTATGTTTCTAGATACTCCCCCTGAGTTAGACATAACTTCTAAATAAGAGAACTACAAGGGATTCAACTCATATAATTTACGCATACCGATTCCTTGGACAAGCTTCTGAAAGGTAGACTTGGGCAACGACTTGGTGAAGAGATCGGCCAGGTTGTCCTGGGAACGGATTTGCTTAACTTCAATGTTCTGATGCTGCTGCTGCTGGTGTGAGTAAAAGAACTTCGGCGCTATGTGCTTGGTGTTGTCTCCCTTGATGTATCCCTTCTTCAACTGCTCGATACATGCTGCATTGTCTTCAAAGATCGTCGTAAGAAGGTCAACGACTGATATAAGACCACTAGTGCTTCGAATGTGTCCTATAACTTTTCTTAGCCAAAAGCACTCACGCGATGCTTCATGTAGGGCGAGAATCTCAGCATGGTTAGACGAAGTTGCAGCTAGCGTTTGCTTGGTAGATCTCCAAGAAATAGCGGTGTCTCCAACGGTAAAGACATAACCCGTTTGAGAACGTGCTCTATGTGGGTCAGACAGATATCCAGCATCTACGTAACCAACAAGGCTAGAATCAATCCGAGTACCATAAGGGGAGGCAACATTTGGAGATTCGCGGGTATAGAACACACCTAAATCCGTTGTACCTTTGAGGTAGCGGAAAATGTCTTTAACACCATTCCAGTGCCTGTGTGGGCGCATTGCTATATCTTGCCAATAGATTCATAATGAATGAGATGTCAGGTCTAGTGCATTGAGCCAAGTACAATAAAGCCCCAATTGCACTTAGGTAAAGAACTTAGGGTTCCAAAATCTCTTCCTCATCCTCCTTTGGATGGAAGGGATCTCGTTGAGCATCTAGAGTTCGAACGATCATGGGTGTACTCGAAGGCTTCGCTTTATCCTTACTAAAATGACGCAACACCTTTTGGGTGTAGTTCAATTGATGTACTAGGATTCCATCCGAACAATGTCGATCTCCAGGCCGAGGCAATATTGAGTTTTCCCAAGATCCTTCATCTCAAATTTCGATTTCAAGTGTGCAGCAATTTCCTTAAGCTTTGCAGGAGTCCCAATGAGATTCATGTCATCGACATAAACTGCAACAATTGCAAATTCGGAATGTGACTTCTTTATGAACACGCATGGGCATAGTTCGTTGTTCACATAACCCTGACTTGTCAAATATTCACTCAGACGGTTATACCACATTTACTCGGATTGTTTCAATCCATAGAGTGACCTCCTCAATCTAATTGAGAGGGTGTTCCGTGGTCTAGAGCTATTTCAGCCAGTCAATGGAAGTCATTCTCAAACTTTCATGTATATTTCCGTATCTAGATCCCTATAGAGATATGCGGTTACCACGTCCATAAGCTGCATATTTAGTTTTTCGAAAACTACCAAACTGATTAGGTAGCGGAACATTATAACGTCCATTACGAGGGAATACGTCTCCTTGTAATCAATCACAGGGCGTTGAGAGAAGCCTTGCGCTACGAGGCGTGCTTTATATTGCACTATTTCATTCTTCTCATTATGCTTCCTCACGAAAACCCACCTATAGCCAACAGGCTTCACGCGTGGTGGTGTAGGAACAATAGGTCTAAATACCTTACATTTCGCGAGCGAATTGAGTTTTACCTGGATTGCTTGTTTCCAGTTTGACCAATTGGTTATACATTGACATTCATCGACGAAACGTGGTTCAATGTCATCGTTAAGCATGATGTCAGTAGCTACTAAGTATGAGAATGCATCGTCGACGATCATCTCATTCCTATTCCAAACCTCATCCAATACTATGTAGTGGACCGAAATCTCACAATTCTCCGGAGGCTGGCATGTTTCATCTTAAGCATCACCGTAATTTACAATAACCTCATGCCTTGAAACGGATGAGTGAGCGATGGTCGGATTCAAACTAGGTTTACTAGTTGGTGCCATTTTCCTCTTCTGGGGTTGTGAATCCTTTGAACCAAAGGGTCTGCCACACTTCAGGGTCAGAGCAGGTGATTAGCTTGCTGCCAATGTACCTTACCACATGGAAAGTGCAGCCTCCCCACCTTAGGGGACGGTCCGGCCTTCGCAGGCGGGTTGTTGATGTACGTGGGGTACATCTATCCTTGCAGGTGTGTTTACAGTAGGTATATGTGATCTTGTCACCTTTGCTATATCATTAAAAGCATC